TCTGTCGCCCAGGCTGGAGTGCAATGGCACGATCTCTGCTCACTGCAACCTCCACCTCCCAGGTTCAAGCAATTCTCCTGCCTCAGCCTCCCAAGTAGCTGAGATTACAGGCATGTACCACCATGCCTGGCTAGTTTTTGTATTTTAGGAAAGACAGGTTTTGCCGTCTTGACCAGCTCGTCTCAAACCCCGGACCTCAGGTGATCCCCCCACCTTGGCCTCCCAAAGTGCTGAGATTACAGGCGTGAGCCACTGTGGTGACACTTTTTAAAGAGTCTTCCGGTGCGCTTTACCCCATGTGCTCCACCGAGAATGACTGCTCCCTAACCAAGTGCAGAAAGGCCCCCAGGTGGTCCTGGTGGGACAGGAGACACCTCTTGGGTCTGACTCATACCCATAGACTCACCTCCTTGTCACTCCCATGACTAAGTACAGCAGCCTTTTAGTAATGTAATTTTCTCTCACTATGGAAGTTTTGTGTTTGTTAATAGAAAACCTTGAAAATGTCTGTATAAATAGGAGTCACCTGTAATTCCATCACTTGGTAATAGATCCATGACTCTTAATGTATATGTTCTTCTGTAATAAATTCTCTACTTTATTAAACATTCCATCCAGATTGCTAGTTAAAGCTTGCTTGGTGTTGGTGTCTGAGATGTGAGTATCTCTTAGGTTTGGATCCAGTGGTTACCGTTCTGGTCTTTTAGGACTTGCCAGCAATTTCCTTTCTGGTATTTAAAAGTATCCTGTCAGGTTAGATGCAGAAATTTGGGACTCTGGCCATTCTTCAGTGAGAAAACCAGGAGAGGTTAGAGGCAGCTGAGGGTACGGGGGTCACCTGGCGAGACTCAGCCTGGAGCCTCATGGCCAGAGGCACCTGCCCTTCAGGGTGGCTATCCTTTCCAGTTACCAGCCTTTTATCCAGTGGCTTGGCTCCTTGGCCAGCTCTGGGAGCTTTCCCTGCCTCTCCACCTCTCCAACTTACTTCATCCCTCCCAGTTCAGTTTGAGTCCTGGTGAATTTTCAGTGTTTCTGGACATGAGTGGAGAATTGTAGCCACCAGATGTCACTGCCTCCAAACACAGACCTCTTCTAACAAGTGTGTATTTCTCTCTCCAGCTATTACAAGGACTACACGGATAAAGAGAAAGAAATGTGTCACCGCATGTTCGCTCCCTGTGGCGATGGCTCTACAGCAGGAGAAAGCTGAAGGTAATCAAAGGGCCAGTGGCACACAGTCTTCAGGATGGAGACGCTGCTGCTCTCCCCAGCCCCCAGGGAGTGGTGGCTGTCAGCAGCTGAGGCCGGGCGAGGGCTAGGAAAGTTCCCTGCTGTGGCGAACAAAACAACTGTAGTCCAAGATGCACGTGCTGCGGGCCTGCCTTCTCCGTGAGAAGGAAGTTCGCCCACGTGCTGCGGGCCTGCCTTCTC